CGACCGCGGCCCACGGCTGGGGGAGCTCCTGCCTCGCTCAGGGGCAGCCCCAGAGCATTCCGGAACATTCCTGAGCATTCCTGAGCATTCCTGAGCATTCCTGAGCATTCCGGAACATTCCTGAGCATTCCGGAACATCCCTGAGCATTCCGGAACATTCCTGAGCATTCCAGAACATTCCTGAGCATTCCTGAGCATTCCTGAGTATCCCTGAGCATTCCGGAACATCCCTGAGCATTCCGGAACATTCCTGAGCATTCCTGAGCACTCCAGAACATTCCTGAGCATTCTGGAACATTCCTGAGCATTCCAGAACATTCCTGAGCATTCCAGAACATTCCTGAGCATTCTGGAACATTCCTGAGCATTCCAGAACATTCCTGAGCATCCCTGAGCATTCTGGAACATTCCTGAGCATTCTGGAACATTCCTGAGCATTCCAGAACATTCCTGAGCATTCCGGAACATTCCTGAGCATTCCAGAACATTCCTGAGCATTCCGGAACATTCCTGAGCATTCCTGAGCATCCCTGAGCATTCTGGAACATTCCTGAGCATTCTGGAACATTCCTGAACATTCCTGAATATCCCTGAGCATTCCAGAACATTCCTGAGCATTGCAGAACATTCCAGAACATTCCTGAGCATTCCTGAGCATTCCGGAACATTCCTGAGCATTCCTGAATATCCCTGAACATTCCTGAGCCCCCTGAGGCTCCCCACTGATGGCACAGAGGGATTTTCCGGGATCTCCAGCACCCAAAGGATCCCCGATCCCGCCGATCCCGTTTCTCTGTGGGCAGGAGAGCTCTCTCCTCCAGCCTGGAAAGACCAGGAATTTCCAGGCTGGAAGCCAATCCCACGGGAAGATCCTGACAAATCCCGTATTTTTAACCCCCTAAATCCCACCCCGCTGATTTTCGGGACACGGGAATCCCTAAAAAACACCCGGTTTTTAAAATCCCTAAAAAAATCCCTAAAAAAATCCCTAAAAAATTCCCAGGGGGACGAGGATAATCCAAGGAATTAAAACCGGCCCCACAATTCATTTTCCCGGGGGAGCCGCTCCTTTTCTCGGCGATTCCAGGAGTTATCCAAAGGGAAAATCCCTTCCCGCATCAGCGCCCGGCACATCAAACCGGGGCCGGGAGGGGCAGGAAGGGCCCTGCCCAAATTCCCGCCGGGAAAAGCTCGGGAATGGAGCTCCAGGAGGGGAAGCTGCAATTTCTGTGCCACGCTGGGCCGGGAGGAGCAGCCTGTGGTGACACTTTGGGGACATTTCTGGCCTGGCAGGAGGCGGTGGCTTCCTGAGAGCGGAACCGGAGCCGCCTCCGCGGGACGGGAATAGAGGGGACGGAGGAGGGACACGGAACCGCTGTGGGCTGGCAGCCTGTCCTTGTCACCTGTCACCCGTCCCTGCTGCCTGTCCTTGTCACCTGTCCCTGCTGCCTGTCCTTGTCACCTGTCACCTGTCCCTGCTGCCTGTCCTTGTCACCTGTCACCCGTCCCTGCTGCCTGTCCTTGTCACCTGTCACCTGTCCCTGCTGCCTGTCCTTGTCACCTGTCCCTGCTGCCTGTCCTTGTCACCTGTCACCTGTCCCTGGCAGCCTGTCCTTGTCACCTGTCACCCGTCCCTGCTGCCTGTCCTTGTCACCCGTCCCTGCTGCCTGTCCTTGTCACCTGTCACCCGTCCCTGGCAGCCTGTCCTTGTCACCTGTCACCTGTCCCTGCTGCCTGTCCTTGTCACCTGTCCCTGCTGCCTGTCCTTGTCACCTGTCACCCGTCCCTGCTGCCTGTCCTTGTCACCTGTCCTTCTCACCCGTCCCTGTCCCTGTCACCCATCCCTGTAGGTACCCAGTGTCCCCTCCCTGTCACCCCGTTCCTGTCAGCCTGTCCTTGTCACCCATCCTGTCACCCTGTCCTTGTCATCCATCCCTGGCTGCCTGTCCTTGTCACCTGTCCTTCTCACCCGTCCCTGTCCCTGTCACCCATCCCTGTAGGTACCCAGTGTCCCCTCCCTGTCACCCCGTTCCTGTCAGCCTGTCCTTGTCACCCATCCTGTCACCTTGTCCTTGTCATCCATCCCTGGCTGCCTGTCCTTGTCACCTGTTCTTGTCACCCATCCCTGTCACCCTGTCCTTGTCACCCATCCCTGTCACCTGTCCCTGTGGGTGTCCAGGACCCTGTCCCTGCAGGTACCCAGTGTCCCATCCCTGTCACTCTGTCCCTGTCACTCTGTCCCTGTCACCCCCAGTCCCCAGCGGTGGCTCTGGTGATCCCCCCATTCCCAATCGCACCAGAGCAGGACTCTGGGATATTCCTGCTGGGGAAAACAGGGAATCGACCTCGGGATCAGCCCCAGGGACACAGCGGGGGCCGGCTCCAGAGGAGTGCCAGGGGACACGGACAGGGGACAGGGACAGGGACAGGGACAGGGACAGGGGACAGGGGACAGGGGACAGGGACAGGGACAGGGACAG